TTTCAATTTCTATAATTTTCTTTAAGAGTAATATTAGAGTTCTCTCTTTTTTTTTTTTACTTTCTTTACCTCGTTTATTCAGAGTAAGTACAGTTTAAAGTACTGTTATTAGTAATGCACATTATAAATTATAGGGTGCATAGATGTTTAGTGCTGTGGTGAATCACCCAAAGCGCCAAGCGCCTTGACGCAGCTGCTTTCACGTTGTTGTAACTTTGTTAAGTTTTTCTTTTATAAATTAAAATTACAGAAATAATGAAGCATTCACCGCGATTCATTCTGAGATCTATTTTTTTTTCTTTTATTTTCTACACTTAATAGATTAGTGTTGCGTAAGACAAAGAATCATATCCCACTTACGGTTCTTACCATGATAATAAATGTAACAAATGAAACCATTACAAATAAATATCACAAGGAAGTTGCATTTTGATAGAAATGAATAATTCCACGAAAGGAAGAGTGGATGGGACGGGCTAGAAAGGGGTGAGACCTAGGTAATCGGTATTATTTGGTATATAATTATAAATTGTATCATTATATTGTAATTTGATACAGTTACGAATGATATAACAAATAATACGAGCAAATTGACTGCGATACTAGAAGATTAATATTTTAGCAGAAGAACTATCGGTAACTTGAGAATCATAGCGAAAGATTAAAGTCTACTAAATCAATGAATAATGTATCAGGATCGTCCACGTCGGATGGATGTACAGTACTCTTTTATAATATTTATTATATGCATTTTTTGTTTCTTTTTTCCAAGTTTCTTTCAGGTACGCGTTTGTTTAAACGACGCTAATCTGTCAGGTTGTTTAGATCTTAAGTACAGTCAGTATTGTGATGTCAAGACTTTATTTCACGCGCTTTAACAAAACAATTTATCGTATGTTCCCAGTTCCTCGTCACGCGCTGTCTTAAATTTCGTTTCTTTGTACATATACATATATACCTTTTCCATCTACATACATTCACACATTGATTATCCACAATGACAAACTGTCTTGCAGAATACATACGCACACACACATATATTCCGATGCGTTTTGAAAAGTAAAGAGAATGATGGATAAATCTGAATAATTTCGTAGAGATGATTGATTCAAAGTATTTACGTAAAATAATTCGTTGTAACGTTTACAGTATTAACGCCCATATAAAAATATGAAAGACTGATTTTATTCGGAACCGTCTGTTCCCAAACGATTCGATACATTTCTCACGAGGCACAAATATTATTTGCTCCTCTTTCGCTTCTTTCCTCTTTGTCAAATAATACATGCATACGCATATTTTGTTACGGTGAATTCGATTTGTCCGGAAGACAAATTTTGCATTTGACTACTTGCCGCAAAACTATTTCAATTTCTAATATTTCGAGATAGTGTTCTGCTGCAAATATTCCTTTCGGTTGTAAAAGTTTTATACGAAAGCATGCACTCTTCGAAATTACTCGTGTAACACATAAAGTAGACGAGTTATCTGTATCAGATTGACACAGTTGTTATTTGACAAGTACTTTCCCGCTGAAGCAACAATTTTAAATTCAGAACAAAAATGTCATAAATATCTAAATATATTTTCCATAGATCATTCTTGTAATCGTTAGAGATTCCTCTGATATATATGTATATACAATGAATTACTACCATTATTTCATTATTTCTTTCCCTGTTTACACGATCACGAAATACTTAACCGTTAAAATTGTCTTTGATTGTTTCTTCGTTAAACATTTTTTAACAAGGTCGAAGAATGAAAAATTTCTTCAAAATTCCCTTTTTAATTGCACAAATATAGATACTAAATACATAAATACATACGTACACACATGTACACATACATACTATATGCGTATGTATGTTTGTATATATGTATCTATGTATATGTTTAAGTGTAACGTATGCTTAAATATGTGAATAAAAAACATGGAAATAAGCACTTGTACTATACGTTTATTTACAATAATAAGTCTAGGTTCCAGCCATATATTAAACATTTTTAAACGTGTATTCGAAATTTTTAGTAAAACAAGAAATAACAACTTTATGTGTTAAGGTAAATTTATTCACTATTAAATTTCGCTTTTTCTAAATAAACGCATTACACTGCTCTATTTACTTACAATCATCGTATATCTCTGCTACTATAAAAAAGATCTAGAAGGAAAATAAGACGAGAAATTCTTATATTTCATTCTGTTAACTAGATATCGTTATTTCACTATTTTGATAACGTCCAGAATATAGAAACGAGTCAGAATTGCAAATGATAAAGAAACATTTCATATTTAATGTATAACTGATTACCTAGAAGACTTATGCAATGGACGATATATCTGGAATCATACATACGCAAAAAAGTAACTGCTATACACGATTGGTTCCTTTGTACTATAGAAATTTTACAAATATTTCAGGTCTATACACAACTGTAGTAACATACGTATTAGCCTGTTTTCTTTTTTCGTTTCTTTCTGACAAATATTGTCGGCACACGAGTTGTGTAGACATTAGTCAGAAATGGCGGTTTTGATGTATGCATTAGATTTAGCTCTTTGCCGCGTGCGCTCGCGTAGCTTCAAGTATTTTGCATACAATTTACTCTATTCTCATACTCGTAGGCTTCGAGTCCTCTTTGCGAGTCAAACATATAAAAAATATGTAACACGGTGAATATTTATAAACTACGAAATAAAGCAAACTAAACAAGTATGAAGGCATGATGCATGTGTAAATTTAAAGGTAAACGATTTGATACGGTGAACGAAATTCCTTGATCAGCAAAGGCAAGTTCACAGTATTATTTTATCCAAAAATAAAGTTGGATTATATACGCATTGTACTAAAAAATCCTTATAAAAAGGTGCGAACAACTAAATGGACAATGTCTCTTTGATCAATTTTTTCATTGTATTACCCATTGTTGTACTCGATGGGCTAGATGTCGTAAAGGATAGTTTAAACAGATAAGGCTGTATGTCGGGATATGATGTATCAAAGATCAAATCCAGTTCGGCTTGATTTGGCATTTTAGGAAGATAATCATGTCGATTCATCACTTCTGTTATGTAAAGAATCTTATCCGTTAACAAATCTCCAACCTTTTCTCTCCATATTTGTCGTTCATGCTCTGTGGCCAATTTGATCAGTTCCAAGCGTACTGTCCAGACTTCCCATGGTATGCATTCTGGTTGAAAGGGCCAACGATTTTTCTTCTTCTGAAAGAATTCCAAGGATATTTGGCCAGAACCTGGACTATCGGTGGAACGTAAAGCTTCAGAAAAACCTGATATTTCACGTTTCAAAGTTTGATCCAGATGCACCGATGAACAACAGACATAAGTGAAATCAATAAAATCACAGTCGACATCTTGGTATCCCACTGTACCTACAGAATAGCTGCCTTCTTGCTTGTATTTAAATTTACCAAGACTTCGATGGAAAAGGACACTGTGAAAAATACTTGCTACTGCTTCATCCACTTGTCTTCCCTCCATACTTAATTCGAATAACTGAGTTCTGGCATTCATGGTGATTCCTATTCAACAAAATTTCAATACAGGGCTATAGATAAATATTAATAGATTATAATGAGAATACATAATCTAAATATAAATCTAAAAAAAATAAATAATCGAAATTTTTATCCTACTTTTGTGCTAAAATCATTATTGCCAATTTCTCGTAATTCTTTGATCGAATAGAACGGACAAAAACACGTTAAATGTTTGAGTTACGTACTGTTCTGCTTCGATAAACGTGAAACAAAATTATATATACATAAATATATACATATATATGTATATTTCTGAATGTACGGTGTAAACAAGAGAAACGAATATGAAAACAAGGAAAATGTAATTGCGTCGATTAATTCTAACCTCGTAAAAGCAGTAGTAGAATCGATGATTATCACTGAAGACTTGCTGCAATACTGGACGATATTTGGTCATCTTTTAGTTGCAGAAAATTGTCCAGTACTCCAAAAATACAATGAAGTAATCGTTGAGTAAAGTCATAGAAGTAAGTCCTTCGAGTCTTTGAAGATTTTAGAAACGTAATATTCGACATGTATACAGTCACATCGAAATAAAACGGAAACTTCTGAATACAAGTTTCTCGCTTTCTTTGGATACTTTATCCTTAATTTTACGCAACAACAACGGTTACGAAAATGTTCAACATTCGAGAAATAAGCATTGCTCGAATTTTTTAGCACAACTTAATTCTCTTTCTTTCACTGTTCGTCTTTTTCTGGGTCTTTGTTTAAATTTTGTCACTTCTTGTGATGTATAAGTTAAACAAATTCAATTTACAGTTGTAATCATTAATATCAATTGCACATTGTAGAATGGAATTAGTTCTTTTATAAAGAATTTCCTTGAACTGTCTCGATAGCTCGCACAACCATTTTCACCACCATCATCGCATTACTTCCTATTACCACTGCCACCACTATACAAATCGTTTCATCGTTCAAATTGACTTGTTAGTATCTTCAATTTCTCTTTTACATTGATCACCGGATACTGTTAATTAAAGAATCTATTCGTTGATAAACTTGACGCACAGAATTCCGCAAAATCATTTGATTTGAACCAAATTACTACAGTATTTTATTTTATCAGTAAATAACAGCTGTTCTCGCAGTACCGCGCCATTTTACATTTTCTTCGATTCCATTGATATCTGCTGAACGCTAGTCGAACTATTATTCTCCATTCTCACGAGAGGTCTACGCATTTGTACTTTGAATAAATTTATCAAATAAAAATGATGTGCAGATATCGATTAGTGAAAGTGCAACAGTTGTAGTTGAAAACGTAAAAGTTCAATTTCTTTTTTTTTTTGTCGATACAATGCAAGAACAAGTTTATTTTATTTTTGAAACTCAGAAATTTTATCATGATAATATATTTTCACTTGTGCAACCTCAAGTTATAGTTTTAAATGATCGACAAGAAAAAAAAAAATATATATACACATACACACATGTACGTGCGGCGTACATGTGCATATTGCATAAAATAAATACAATTGGGAACGAGTTTTAATTTTTAAATATTGGTATATATTACTTTAATCAACTTTCTATTCTTCATTTTACAATCTTTTTACCAAGTACTTCAAAACAAGCAGAATTAATATCAGGATACTGGTATTGAAATCCTAATTCTCTGACACGTTTAGGTACAACTTTTTGCCCCTCTAACATAATCTGAAAATCAATTGATATAATTATGAAGTGCAACAAAGAGTGATAAGATACATGCTCTGTACTAACTTTTGCTCGTTCTTCATTAAAAAGGAGTTTTAAAACAATGCGTGGTACAGGTAAAAATGCAGGTCGTCTCATTGCAGAAGCAAAGGCCTCAGTAAATTCTTTATTCGTCACAATCTGTTGATGATCTGTCAGTTATGCCTATTCAATTCATTCTTACTGAAGTCAATGTCAATTTGGATAAATTACCTGAGGTGCAACACCATTCAGTATACCTTGCACATTCCTGTTTTCAATGGAGAACAGAAACATATTAACCAAATCTGTTACATGAATCCATGGCATGTATTGACTTCCATTATCAATAGGACCACCCAATCCAAAGAAAAATGGTAGATACATTTGTTTAATCATACCACCATCTTTTCCTAGCACAACTCCTGATCTAATTGTTACTTGTCTGATAGAGCTGTCTTTTGGAAGTTCCGCAGCTGCTTCCCATTTGTGACAAAGTTCTAATAACCGAAACAATTATCTCACATTAAAATAATCTATATGGTAGATAGAGAAATTAAATGAAAATTGAAAGTTTACCCGATAGAAAATCATATTGTGTACATTTACTTTCTTCTGTATATTCCATATCATTTGGTTTATAGTAAGATACTCCGGAAATTGTTACAAAAGCATCTGCTTTAGTGTGTGATATAGCTTTAGCTAACGATTTTGTCGTTTCTACTCGGCTATTTACGACATTCTGTTTAAAACCATCAGTCCATCGACATGTAGGATCAAGTATATTTTGACCAGCAACATTAATTACGGCAGTTGTATTTTCAGGTAATCCATAACATTCCAAATCGTGCTATAGATTTCATAGGGCATTTCGATATCATCCATCATTCACTATACGATTAAATCGTTCAGCTTGTCCTTACCCATGACATTCGATTTGGTCCAGGCATGCGAGAGATACATTTACAGGTAGCACCTTTTCGAGATAACGAATTTATTATTTGCGTTCCGATAAAGCCTGTACCACCACCTAGAGCAATTACATAATCTCATCTGTAAGATAACCTATTAATCGATATTATTTCCGAAAGTTAATTTTACAAATTTTTTCTAATAGTTTTTTAAACGAGAATAAACTTGCCTATAACTACATATTTTAACGCCATATTATTGAAAGAGTACTAGAGTATTATAACTTTTAGATTTCTTTATTGTAAATATATGTATATACGTTTGCTAATAACTTTATACGTAAATTTTTTTAGATATTGAAAAATAAGTCAGTATAAGAACTAGCCTTAGTAGATTATTATTATTGACTAGATAAACTTGAGTAAAATATTTTTTAACAAATCCACATAACAAAATATTCGAAGTGTTTGCCTATCCACGAATTCTACCCTTTTTAATTCGTGAATCGTTGGCAAAGTGAACAGTGAAAAACTAGAAAACTATGAAATTTATTTTTTATAGAATTTGAGATTTAATCAGTCACGGTATACACGTACACCATACATAGAGTTTGAATGAATACGCTGCTAAACAGATAATTGCACAATGCAGAGCTATATATATATATTCTACCCTATCGTTTATATACGTACTCGCTTGTGCAGAAATCTGTGCGCATGCGTATATAAGAGTACATGAGTATATGTATATATATGTCAAGAAATACAAAAGATGGCGTCCGCTTTGGAGAACTTGGAGACGCAGTTGGAGCTTTTTATTGAAAATGTCAGACAAATACGTATCATAGTGAGCGATTTTCAACCTCAAGGACAGAATGTATTGAATCAAAAGATGTGAGTAGTGTATTTGTAATAGTCTTTCATATTCTTGTTCGTTACGATTGTATTAGACTCACTAATGAAATATCAATGAAAATATTATGTTAACTAAGGAGTGAAACACTAATATTATTGATATTATTATGCCAACACATTTGACATGTATTCGAATGTGTTACGTTTAATTTTATTAAGGTGATTATAAAAGAGAAAATATATAGAAGCTAATTGTCGTTATTTGATATGATCGTTTATAAATGAGAATACATCGAATTGAAGTTTATTATTTAAACATAAAACTTTACTACTGTTTTTTTTTTCATACTTTTTTATTTTCTTTCCTCTTCTCTTTTTTTTTATATGGTAGAAAAATCTATGTACATTCATGCTTAATTTTTTTAGTCAAGGCTTAGTGAATGGTTTGCAAGAAATAGATAAGCTTAAATCTCAGGTGCAAGATGTTCATGTACCTTTGGAAGTTTTCGAGTAAGTACATAAAAAATTGTCATAGCATCAACCTTGGCAGCAAGAAATTAAACATAAAGTTACAATTTGTATACGGTTTCAGTTATATCGACCAAGGGAGAAACCCACAGTTATATACCAAGGATTGTATAGAAAAGGCATTAACTAAAAATGAACAAGTAAAAGGAAAGATCGACGCTTATAGGAAATTTAAAGCAAACATGCTTGTAGAACTAACTAGAGTTTTTCCACATGAATTGGCTAAATACAGAGCGATACGAGGGGACGAGTGAACCCGAAAAATGAATCGTACAAAACAGCTCGCGGTATTCTTTCGTTGATCTTTTTATTTGATGCAAATCGTTTGTATAATAAATATTTATAGTATAAAGGAAAAAATATGTAATATGTTTTTATTAATCATATTCCCAGAAACATATGAGAATCATTTCGAAACGTGTAACGGATTATGGTTAAATTAGGAAAACGGTTGTTAGTTGGTATTTTTGTTTTAGACTTTGTTTTTATCGAATATGTTGATATTGAAATTTATATTAAAGGGTAATATCGATACCCCACTCCGTGATTCCCCCTCCATTCGAAGTGGAGATTCGGCCTTTGCGTCGCTAGGTGAATAAAATCATTCGAAGGAAAGCTTATCCAGTCATTCGAAAGACGAATCTGTGTTCAGGTTAAACTTGCGAAGTATGATCATTTTGTTGCTTATTGTTTTTGTTGTGCAGATTGTTACAAGTGAGAATACTCAAGATTCACCTCGGTAAGATTCACGCTATTCTGCTTGTATTTTGTTAACGTTATATTTACAACAATTTTTGCATTTGTTTTCAATCGACTTTGCCCGTTTAATGCACAGAATGTGGGACATGTCGTGGATTATCTCGTTGAATAGAACGAAGGCTTTGAAAGAATGATAAAATTTATGTGATACGAATTGCTTATTCTTACACGCGCGTATCGATGTATTTACACAACCGTTGAGGAGGTAACACTCGATAAATTATTTTTCGGTGATAAAGTGTAAATCGATGATATATCATGTTATAAATGAATACATGTGAACAATTACATTTTGTCACATGTTACTCGGTTGATATGTCGATTCGAGGCTAATGTATGATTTTATTGGAAATGAATGAATAAAAAGAGTGAGAGAGGGAGAGGGGATACGTGCGTTCTATTTTAAGTATAGTGAAAGTGACACGTTGTAAATAGGTAAGTAGGTAGTTCATAGGAGATTAGAAAATGAAAAATTGAGATTGAGCATAAAAAGAGCATACGTCAAAAATAGAAAAAGAAAGAATACTTTTCTTGTATGTGTTCTCTGCTCTCTCGAATCTTTGAATCGCAGTACGAATTGATTCTCAGTAAGTTTATAAAGATCTGATTACGTCAATAAACTGACAAGTGTCGATTGATTGTTGTATCGATTAGTGCATTATATAAGTACGGAGATTTTTACGAGCATATACAGGTATATCTGACGTATGCTTGTCTCAGTCTTTTTTGGCAAAGAAATAAGGGAACGCGGTGGTCGTGGTGGTTTCATTCCGGCTTGTTCGTTATCTGTGTATGTTGGAGAACAAGAAGAAAAAGTTGGGTGACTTTTATTTGCAGTTCACCATGGCATTACAAATGCGAGGGTGGTCTTTGCAAAAAGGAATTAATCACAAAGGACGTGAGTGCACCACTCTCGTTGGAAATGTGCGAATTATTTTGCGGCGCATCTAGTTCGTTATGGCCAAAGCCAACTGGTCACCTGTCTTTGAGTAAAAGTATGGTTCAGCTTGATCCTGAAAAAATTGCATTATCTACCGACGTAAAAACAGAAACGACGCAACTTGGATATCTTCTTGAAAAGAATATATTATTATTGAAAAACAACATTCTGAAGAATTATGGCGGGAAATCAAGAAAAAACGGCGGTGTCGGCATGCTTATTCGAATCACAGGTCTTAACGAAACTGACAACATTAAACTAACTTTGGACACGGACGAAAGTTACATTTTAACTGTAACACAAGTGGAGACATCGGTGAGCGCGCACGTTAATTATTTTTAAACAACAAAAAAATTTCCGCTGGTAGATACTTTGTTCTTCTCAATTTCGTTATGTCTTGTTATTGTAGTGAACGAAATATTAATATTCGTAGTAATATTCGTGTTTTCGAGTTGTTAGGAACAGGAAAACCACGCGAGAGCTTTTATACGACAGGGTGTTATTGATGTTGACTATTAAGAGAAGAGTAGGGGTGGGGATTATATTGTTATCGTCAAGGCGTTGTTTTTCTAAAATCGTTGTGATAATACGTATGATTGGGCGAAGCTGGTTGTTTCGCATTTCGAAACAGGTTTTTAATTTGTCCGTTGTCGTCGTGGGGAATCTATTTTAATCGGGAATATCGGTAACGTAGGTACGGAATAAGAGATTCTAAAGGATGACCGACAGAATACTCGGGGAATAACCGCATCTGTATTTTTGTTTTTATTTTATACGATATTTAGTTGTTGGATGTCGCGATTACGGCGAAATCGTATTTCGGTGCACGACATGCCCTGGAAACTATGAGTCAGATGATTATTTTCGACGACACACTGGAAAAGATTCAGATTCCAAACGAGATCTCGATTACCGATGGACCTGTATATCCTTACCGTGGAGTTTTACTGGATACCAGTCGAAATTTCGTCGATAAGGCAACGATATTACAAACGATCGACGGTATGTCCATGTCCAAGTTAAATACTTTGCATTGGCATATAATCGATTCTCAGAGTTTCCCCTATGAGAGCAAAACGTGGCCTTCATTTTCCAAGTTCGGTTCTTACACGCCTGAGAAGATCTACGATCAGAAGGATGTGAAAGAAATCGTTGAATACGGACTTATCCATGGAGTCAGAGTATTGCCAGAGTTCGATGCACCCGCCCACGTGGGAGAAGGATGGCAGTGGGTAATTGGTTTTCCTTCATTTCAAGTTCTCTCTTTGGGGAAAGTCAAGAGCGAGCGAGTCAAGTTGATCGAGTTAGTTGGTAATGTATAAAAAAAAAAAAAGGAAAGGGAAAAGGGAAAGTAAAAGCACGCGAAAGCGGTAGCAGGAAAAGTTTGAAAAATAAGCAGAACTACGTTGTATTTTTTTTTTTTTATGACGATTTTCACTTGCAGGTTGGAGATGATGCGCTCGTTTGCTTCAAAGCGGAACCCTGGCATAAATACTGTGTGGAACCACCTTGTGGTCAATTGAATCCGACCAATGAAAAAGTATACGAGCTTCTTGAAGGAATCTATAAAGATATGCTGGAGGATTTTCAACCGGACCTGTTTCATATGGGTGGGGACGAAGTGAACATAAACTGTTGGAATTCTTCGCTCGTTGTTACAAACTGGATGAAAACTGTGAAAGGTTGGAATCTGTCCGAATCAAGTTTTTATATGCTTTGGGACTATTTTCAAAAGAAGGCATTGGAGACGTTAACGATCGCAAACAACGGAGAGCAGATACCTGTTATTCTATGGACCAGTGGTTTAACCAACAAGGAGAACATTAAATATTTGGATGCTTCGAAATATATCGTACAGATTTGGACAACCAAAGATGATCCTACCCTCGGTAGTTTGTTACGGAATGACTTTAGAATTATTTTTTCGAATTACGACAGTCTCTATTTGGACTGCGGGTAAGTAGATATTTTCGAGTTGTATAGTTATTTAATTAGTATTTAATCTCGATTCGTTCCTCTGATATTCGCCTCGCTCGCGTTTAATTTTTTTCTTAGATTTGCAGCCTGGATAGGTCAAGGTAACAATTGGTGTGCTCCTTATAAAGGGTGGCAAAAAATCTACGACAATTCCCCTTTGAAAATACTCGGATCGCAACGTCTCGAAAGTAAAAAGAATCTTATATTAGGTGAATACCTTTTATTATATGTTCTATCGAGAAGCACACAACTCGCGCGTGCGCGCGCAGAGTGTGAGTGAGTGAGTGAGTGAATGATTGAGTGTTAACAGGCGGCGAAGCAGCTCTTTGGACGGAACAGGCAGATAGCGCGACGATAGATGCGAAAATTTGGCCTAGGGCCGCGGCACTTGGTGAGAGATTATGGGCAGAACCAAATTCAACATGGATACATGCGGTGCAAAGGATGCTCAGGCATAGGGAACGATATGTGAAAAGGGGAATCACCGCTGAAAGCTTACAGCCCGAATGGTGTTTGCAAAATCAAGGTCACTGTTACTCGTAACAAGCAGAGCATCCCTCTGTGTTTCCCTCTTTTCCATCTACACGTGCAACACATCTGTGATTTTGTCTTCCGCGTTTTGCACATATCATTTTGATTCGACCATCTTTCCTCTCGGAGGGGACTTTTTTTTATTACCTTTACAGCTCGTTGCGTTACAATCACGAAAGTATATACATACGTAAATTACGTTAGGATCGAGGAATAATGTTATTTTAATTGTTCAGTCGATCGATTTATTATTCTACATATTTACAAAAAAAGACGAGTCGTTCTTCGTTCGATGTCGGATCATTTTTACCTACCTGTTACCGCACGTAAGGGTACTATAATACTACTACTTATGTACACATGTAATACCGAATAAACGATTAAGGAATTTTGTAGTCACAAACAATAAAATAAGAATTTCCGTACGATCGAGTCACATTTTGTATCGTGTTAAAGTGGAGAGAATATTGCAAGGCGTGATACATACGATTAAGAGGAATCAAGGAATCTAAGTGATGAGATCTAACGAACTATTAATATCAAATATTCCTAGAATTGTTAACTTAATAGCTATCTTGCTTGTCGTCGAACGGAGTTTTCACAAAATACGTTACCAAGGTTCCTTTCCCTTTCACATAAATCGGCCCTCGACAGGTCAATTCGTAACCGGCGGCTATCAAAATCTTGGCTGTGTCTTCGGTGACTTGAAGTTTTCCCATTTCTCCGCAACTGTCCATTCTCGACGCTACGTTCACCGTATTACCCCAAATGTCGTATTGAGGTTTCTGCGCTCCAACTACGCCTGCTATTACGGGCCCGTGATTCAAACCTTGCGGAAAAAGAATCGTACGTTGTGTATATGTGTTTTACAATCTCACGTGAAAACAAGTATAATTTCTCGCGGGAATAATCAGACAGACACACACAGACGCACAGACGCACACACCTATTCTCAATTTGAATCTTTGGAAAGATTCTTTGTTGATTTGGTCTAGAATGGTCATCAAAGCGAGAGCAAATTCAACAAGAATGATAATATTGTGATCTTGCTGTTTCGAGGGATCCTAAAAGTTAAGGGATATAAATAATCGTAAGAATAAAAATGTTCGTTGATAATATTGATACGATGATTTCGATATAAAAAAAAAAAACTCTGGAAACACTCGGGTACAACTGTTTCTTTCTTTCTTTCTTTTTTCTCTTCACTTAAATTCGTCGAACTCGAAAACAACGATCTCTGTCTCTGTCGGTCGTCATCTTCTTTTTACCTTTCTATCGGTATCTTCTTTCCCTGGACTGAGGCCAGAAGCAAGCATATAAGTACTACCGATAGTTTTAATTTTTTCAATTCCGGAAAACTTTGGTTTAAGTAGCAGTTTGTCAAAGTCACATATTATCTCGTTTAGAAGCCTTAGACACTCCAGTCCCTGTTTGTTTATATCAGTTTCGTCGTAGAATTCCTTGTAATTCGGAATGGACGCGAACATCACAGCTATACTGCTGTACCTCTCGTGATAGAGATCCTGCGGAAAAGAGAGGTGCGAAAGTTTCCGTTTCGTATAGACTCTATTATCGTAGAGGAGAATAGCGGGTAAGTAAATACGGTATGTGAAAGTTATATGAAATTCACCTGAGTTGTTGCTCTGGCGTTTGTTAAGAAATGCTCTGCCACGTGACCAGGTAATATGTTCTCTAGAAGAATCTTATTAATACCTCTCATAGTTTCTACCTCGTCCTGTTCTATTTTCAGTTTAGTTTGCCACAGAAAATCCGTTCTCGAAGTGTACTCAATTTGTCTGTCCAAAACGTGCAGCACGAGGCAGACAAGTGCTAGCAAGTAGCCGATTTGATAGAGATAATGAATGCCATAATGTCTGTGGAATAGAATAGAATAGAATAGTGTTAGGTCATTCTGAATAGAATAGAATAGAATAGTGTTAGGTCATTCTGAATGTGCCCGCAGTATTAAGCTGTTCGTTTAATGCTAGAACAACCAAACCCGTCAAAATCTGCTGGACTTCTGCTGGAATAAACAAATAATTATACTATACGCTCATTCTTTATACAGTATACCTAAATATTAGGTTGCTGCATAAGTTCTGTCCGCTAGAGTACGTCTTCTACAAATACGACTTTTGTATACAGTTTGTACTTACCTCAAACTATGTATTTCCCATCATTATTTATAACCTTTTCCCATCTCTGTGAAAGTTGCATTATGCCTCTTTTATAAAAATCTTGGGATTTATCACTAAAAAAACTGTCTATTGCACTTTTTACGTCCTCGAAAGTTTTAAAGTTTTTTCCATTCGAATTATTTTGCAGTGCCCGGAAAAGATGAAAATCTGTTGGTGTCAGATCTGGGGAATATGGTGGGTTGTGGAATAAGTTCCTACTTCAAGTCCGAAATTTTCTTTTGCGTTGCCGTCGCCACGTGTGGTCTTGCATTGTCGTGCAGATACAGGACGCCCTTTCGATTAACAAGTGATGGTCTCTTAATTTGCAGTTGCTGTTGTACTCTTTCTACTCGTTGCAGCCTCTTTTAGGCTCTGGAATGACTGTCAACATTGACGGATCCGTCGAAGCGATAACACGAGCAGAGTGTTTATATGTATAATAGAAACGAAAAAGCGGACAGAACTTATCCAGCAACCTAATAAACCAGAAGGGAGAGAATATACAGTAGTGCACACATAAGTGTCAGCATTTTTGCACACTTAAGCGTCCGTCGCTATCCCCACCAATTCTTGGAAATGGGACATCGGAGTGGAGTTTGAGCGTGCTGAGTGAAACAAAGTATGTAATTCGATATCGACTCCTGAATGTGAACAACCGACACTTGATATATCGGTATCCCACTCAGATACATCTCCTCTCTTTTGTTTAGTTATATTCGCAGAAGTCATCTCCCCACTTAAGTGTCTACATTCGGGCTTATGTGTGCACTACTGTACTACGTTTAACTCCAGTTGTTCTAGTGTTAAAAAGAAAACATATCCTTACTGAGGTCGTTGGATTTTTTTCGACCCATCGTCTTCTTATTTTTTTAATAACTTCCATTGTTATCGAGTTTATGCTCTCTTAAGGTTACATTAAAAGTTTATCGTTCTAAGCTCATATGGCGTGCTGGTAACAAAAATTGTTGCATAGAAGGTCTCTGGGTCATTTCTGACCCAAAGGCTTTAAGTGTACAGTCGAACGAAGGAACGCGCTAGGGTTGAACATTTTCATTTGAAATAATTCGAATCTTTACATATGCTCAATTAACGCTCTTGTAATTGGCAAAAGTGTATCGAACATTGTGGAAATTATTTTAAATAAAAATGTTTAATTTCAACGGAGTTACGTTTTTTTCTTTTTTTTTTTTTCAAAATGAACCGCGTAAAATCGCGGGAACTTTCCGGATGACCTGATATTATTCAAAATCCTATTTACACGGGAACAATTATTTCTACTTACTCGACATTTCCGGTCACGTAGTACAATGGTGCGATCGATAATTGAGAGAAAGCAACGATAACAGCCGTTGCCGATAGGAACATCGCGCAGAATTTCAGTAAGAAATCGACGCGTAAATGCGTCCAGCCTACAATCAGCGACATCACCGTGGAATATATGTACAACTGAAAGAAAGTATCAGCTGTATTTGTCGCCTCGAATACATCTGCAGCATCTTAATACAAAAATACGTACTGGTAAAACGTAATATCCATCGTTCATCTGTTCGACATCGATCAGACTGAGGATGGACGAAACGGTGGTTAGAACCACCGTAATTAAGTACACCGTTATTCTGATCGGTACGCTTAAAGTTAACCGACCACCGCTCGGTACATTTCTATCGTAGATTTTGCATCTGATACTTAGCCAAGATGATACGGAAAGGATTAAGAAAAGGAAGAAACCGGGCAGGAAACAGCTGTAAACTATGACGCTTCTGTAATCAAAATAAAAAATATCATTCTCTGCTATCGTAGTTTACAGACTTACCGTCTGCTGTTCTGAGAGGAGAGTTCTTTCGAAAGACGTTCGATTTTTCTGGACGACGAGGAACGAAATTAAATCGTAATTAATCCCTTGCCTTGTGATTTCATTCGTAACTCCTCGTAAATACTCGGCGAAAAGATGTACATTTAATATTAGGCGTAGAAGTAAGTTCATTCCGACGAAGTTCAGCTGATTACGTGTGGCGGGAAATGAAGGGAATCGTGTATCTGTGGAGAAACACAGGAGAAACTGTGACTGCGGACCGCAATCAACAGCAACTCCTGAATTTTTCAAAGGCGGTTATCTGGACAACGCAGACGTAAATTAACCCTTATGTCAATAACCGGGTACCCTTTTGCATAATTCTCACTTAAAATATTCTATCTTCCAGGTAAAAGATTTAAATATCCGGCCAGATCGTTGTTATTTGGCACAATTCCTATCCGTGTTTGCCTCAAGTTTAGAATTTTGTTGTCAGAAAACTACTAAACTTGGACGATAAAGTAGACGACAATTGTGGTTATTGACACAGGGGTTGATACTGCTTCAGACACGCTCGCTCGAACAGGTATGCAGGGGCAAAAGAGCTGATTTTCTCACTGGATTGGGAACTTCTGCCGCATGCGGCTTACTCTCCTGACATGACACCTTCGGAT